GTTTTATTTACTGTCATCTGAATAAGTCTATGACAGTTGAAGTACGTACTGAGTACTTTAGACCAACAATAATAGCAATAATAATACTAATTTGTAGATGGTAATTTTGAAGGTTGATTTCACAATTCTACATATCAATATTTCCAGGGCAAGAAAACAATTGTAAGTGCAGGCAAACTGCCGATTCAATAGAGGTGGGTTAGAGCTGGGGTAGGGGCAGAGTGGAGAAAGGAATCCACTATTAAAATAAATCATCTTGTCAACAGACAGTCCCAGGAAACAAAAGCCCAGAAGACATCATGAAAGGACATTCTTAGGTATAGACATTCTTAGAAATTTTAGAAATAAAGGCTGGGGACAGCACTTTAACCCTGTGTCTTCTGCAGAAACATTGAGTGTCAGGGGCTCATCGCAGACATGTCCTTCAGGAGAAATGAGCAGTAAGGGCCCTGGAGGAAGATTTTAGAGAGTCCACAATTTCTTTTACTTATATTCATTTACTCCATACCAATTTTATTGAGTCACTATGTTTCAACATGGTATCAGATATTATAATACAAACACATGCACACAAAAGAAAAAAACCTATTTTTGCCTTACATACCATCTACAAGAAGAGATGGATAATTTTTAAGCTATGTAGGTGCTATGAGTACTGGTTAGTGCAAGCATATGGAGCCAGCATACAGCAGGGATACCAAAACCTGAACAGAAAATTCAGAGAAGCTTACCAGAGAAAATGACCTTCATGCTGAGTTCATTGGAAGTTGAACATTATGAATTGTAAGGCACAAAGAAGTTGAGTGTAGCTGAGGCATAAAGTGCAAGGAAGTAGGGCAGAGTGTTGAGAGATGATGCTAGATTAAGCTATGTAGGAAGCTATGCTAGATTAAGCTATGTAGGTGCTAATTATAAATAGGGAACAGGTCATAAAGGGCCCATGAGATATTAAGAATATTGGACTTTTTTCCAAAGGCATTGGAAAATCTTAAAAAGTTTCAAGCAAGGGAATGAATGAATAACAAGACCAGATCTTCAGTCATAAAGTTCAAGGATGTGAGCAGAGCTAGGTGGCAAGCTAAGAGGCTGTTATGATTAGGCAAGTGAGAGAGATGGTAGCCTGGACTAGACAGGGGAAGTTAGGAAGGAGAGAAATGGAAAGACTTAAGGTGAATTTTTGGAAGAGGTAAAATGGGCGGGACTTGATAGGTGATGGATGTGTGAAATAAGAAGATGAGTCAACTCCATGTTTCTGATTTAGACAATTGAGGCATTTCATGGAATCCCCAGCAGGGAACAGGTCTGTAGATAAAGTTTTGGCAAGTCAGGTGTTAGATGTCTATTATACACTCTAGTGAAAGTACTAAAAGAATTTCTGCTCAATAGAAATATAATTCAAGCCACTAATCTAAGCCAAAAACATAACCATGATGTAACCCATAACCTTAAGTTTTATGGTAGCTATATTAAAAAGTAAAAAGAAATGGTGAAATTAGCTATAATAATATATTTAACCCAATGTATCCAGAATATTAGCATTTAAACATAATATAAACAAATTGGTAAGATATTTTACATTCTTTTTTCCATATCAAGTCTTAGAAATATGGTACATAATTTACCATTTACATCACATCTCAATTTTGGCTGGACCGTATTTCAAGTGCTCAGTAGCTATATGGGGATAGTTGCTACAATATTGGGCAGTGAAGATCCTGAAGGCAGTTGGATAAATGGGTCTAGAGTTCAGTAGAGCTGTGTAGACTAAAGGAAGAAAGTCTGGAAGCATCAGTGGATGTGGACCAAAATGGTGAAATAACCAAGATCATCTGGAAAGGGTATGACCTGAGATAAAGGAAGCTCCTCACAGAACCCTAAGAAATACTAGCAACTTAAGGGACAAGGAGAGGAGCTTACAAAGGAGATCTGGAAGGAGCATACAAAATTTTATTGGGAATGTTATGCTTGTTCCATGTAAGTATCTCTATAGATACAATTACATTTACCTAAAAAGAAAACATTTATCTAAACTTGGGGATGGATAAATCCAAGCACTATGTTAGGTATGTCATCATTATGACACCTCTGGAAAGAACAAATCACCGACACATTTTTCTGAAACAAGATCCTGCCTTACATTGGTAGGGCCAGCACCACCCCTGTCTTATCAGGAAGGATGGGCTTGATGGCAGAGATTGACAGAAAGAGAAGCTGGGAAAAGTACACTATCCAGAATACTTGTGGGTCCTATAGAAAGCCTGGATTTAGAACTGGTGAGTGAGAGAGGGAACAATATAAGCAGCTTTCATGAAGATCAAGCATGTTGTCATTTTAACAAACATAAAATGAGACTCTGCCTTGTAGAGACTGGAATTTGTTTCTCCCCCTAAATATAATGTTATGACCAATTTCAAATATTTACATGCCTCTGTCAACCGAACTGCTAGGGTGGAGTCAGAGGAAGCTACAGAACAGGAAGTGGCACAAATGTGGGGACCCATCAAACTTAAATAAGGTAGTGAGGGACAGAACAGAGGGTTGCCAACGTCAAAAAAAGAAGTTAGAATGAAATTGGACCATAAAGAGGGCCTTTCAAGGAAAAAAATTCCACTCCATCTACTTAGATGTTAGCAAGAGGAGAATGTGGTGCCTTGTTTATGCAGCTATGTAAGGCCACATGCACAGCCCTCTGGGACCTCTTGCTGAGGGAGGGCGGGTAAGAACCTAAGTAAAGACAGCAGGGTACTCGTGCCATATCAGATCTCCATCAACATGCAACCCCAAAAGATCATGACTGTGAGAGCTTTGTAAATCAACTCTTAGGGTGCTTGCTCCAGGGAAAATAGCACAATAAATTAATCCTTTCTCCCTGAAATGCAGCAAAGTTTGTATCTATGCAGAATTCAAATTGCTCATTAGCTCTGACATGTTCCTAATGAGGTTATAATGCTCTGGGACAAAGATCAAGTCCCTGAGCACAAATTGCTAGGGATAGAATCATAGAAAGTTAAAGTTAGAAGGACTTCAGAGCAGTGCTTCTCAAACTTGAATATAAATCACCTGGGGGTTCTGATTCAGGATGTCTGGGATGGAGTCTTCGATTCCTCCTTTCTAACAAAAGCCCAGGTGATACTGGTGCACTTTAACCAGCAAACCCCTAGAGACCACCTAATCCAATCATCTTATCCCAGAGGAGAGGACTCCAAGGTCAGGAGACTAGTAATTGGGAGCGCTCTGAGACTTCCCTGCGGCTAATTTGGGATAGCTGGGCATTTGTCCATAGACCTGTGGGTCAACCAAAAAAAATTTTTAAATAGAAGCATAGAGAGTAGAGTTACCAACCATCCTGGTTTTCTCAAGGCTGAAGGGGCTTCTGGAACATGAGATTTTTCTTTTTTGAAACCCAGGAAAACTCCAGAAAAACCAAGACAAGGTTTTCACCCTACTAAGAGCCTTTTGAATCTACTTACAATATTGTTGCAGGATTATTATCTTTTTGACCAGGTATCAGTTCCTAAATGCTGGGGTCATGACCTGCTGCTAAGGTAAGCACCTAAGTACTCTGTCCTGAAGATCTCCAGGAACAGATGCTCAGACAAGATTATTTCTGTAGAACTTTCTAACACCACCACTAAGTGCTTCTCCAAGAGATAGTCTCCCAAAAGATCTTAAAATAAGGCATAAAAAAGGAGTATAAAGAACACAGAAAAATAAATATAATGCAAGCACATAATGTTCTTTTGAACCACAAAAATCTATTTTAATTTTTATTATTTTCCAAAAAAGCATGTAAGAAACAAACCACTAACTCTTATACATCTGGAAACTCTAGTTAAAAACACCTTTATTTAAAAAAATCACTAAAATAATAATAAAAAATCAAGATGCATCTGTGAGGGTTTCTTAAAAACATCACTCTCTACACAATCAAAATGATTAACAATGAAAATATATCCCTCCACATTCCTGTTTTACTCACTGGGATTGGGCCCATTAACATTAGATAGAATAATAAACAGTCTGGATGGCAAAAGTGAAAAAAATTTCCAGACTATTTGATGTTAGCAGCATATTACTAAAGCTCTTAAAACCAAATTTCAAGATACTGGTCCATATGCATTCAAAGCGCAGACGTAGTGCAATCCTGACCTCTCACTCTCTGAAGTTTTCTGTTTTAAAAGAGATGCCAACAGGCTGTAGCTGAATCACCTGACTTAGTACTCATGCAGTTAAGACACTTAAAACAAAGGAAGGAAAGAACTGTGGCTAAGTCCGTACAATGCATTTGAAATAGGTAAAAGAGAGAACCCTAGACACCCAGCAATCATTACCTGGAAATTAAAGAGGGCAGAAGCAATCCTCTTATGCATTAAAAACAGCCCAGTTGCTAACTTAATGGTAACTTGACTAGCATAACCAAGGAGTCCTTGCTCCAATATTAATAGGAAATATATTGTACAACTCCAATAGTTCATGAAATTAACAAGGAAAATGAACTGGCGTGAAACGACTCTGCAAGTAATAGGAAGGCATCATCAATTGCTTCCCTGGAGCATATTGAACACTTAAAAAGACCTGGGAAAGAGTAAATGTATATAAACAAGAATGGACATTATTGAAATTTTTAATAATACTTTTAATTTAAATACATTTCAAGTTCTCTGTTGGTTGCAAGTCTCTTCAAGAGGAAGCTATTAGCTCAAAATGTCAATAAGAGGTTATGGACTACGAGTTCTGGTCCAGTGATATTCAAAGTTAGCTGCCATTTGAATCAGCCCAAAACTACCATAAACCTATGATTTGACAGCTGTCAAAATTATTCCCACATCACTCGTGTAGAACTAAATACTTTAAATAGAATCTAGAAAACAATCTCCCTTTTATAAACTTCAATATCACTTCTCAGCCTTTTGGCCAAGGTCAAGTGTATAAACCTCAACACCGTGCATGATATATGCATGCTCATTAGCAAACTGAAAAGTAAAGTAAATTCGACTTACAGTCCAATAGACATACGATGAAAGAGAACATCTTCCCCACAGACACTGCCAGGGACAATCCGACTGAATCTGGCATTGACCAAACAAGAGGCTGGGAGGGTGTCCATAGAAGCAAGAATGTGACTTCCATTTTTCCCAGACAGAGACCCATCCAAGTCTCCCAAAATCGCTGCATGAGCAAATGGAAATGCTACTAAGTTCGGAGAGTTTATAAACTTCAACTGGTTGGTCTTCACAGTAAATCCACCTATAAAATGGAAGACAGAGTGTTACACATGGCACAAAAGACTATTATAACAAATGGCAACTGAATTCACTGGAATGTTTTCAGTACTTTAAATTGCATATTTATACAATTTCACAACTCATTTATTCAAGAAAACAAATGAATGCTTCTTGTATGCCAGGCTCTGTGGTATGTCCTGGAGACACAGTGGGAAGCAAGAACAGTACTGATGCTGCCTTCATGCAGTCTGTATTCTAGGGCAGTAATTCTCAACCAGGGATCACTTGGCCCTATTTGGAGCTGTCATAGCTGGGTGGATGGCAGTGCGATTGACATCTGGTGGGCAGACATAGGGATGCTGATAAACATCCTCAACGCACATGACAGTCCCCACAACAAAAAACTCTCCAGCCCAAAATACTAATAGTGCCAAGGAGGAGAAACTGTTCCAGTGGGAAATAGAGACACAGAACACTAACTAACTAATTACTAAATACTAAAGGTGTCTTTATTTAGTCTTTCAATCTGTCTCAATCTGTCTGCTCCAGTTCTTCTGTGGTGAGTCTAACCCCACCTCTTATGAGGTTTATACTTGAAAGATTTACCCTCAAAAGCAACATTTAATCATGTGAACAAATATCAGTAGTAATGGTATCACAGTTTTTAAGCGTTAGCACTAGGGCTGTACTTCTTAGCAGTCTGTTCCTCACACCACCTCCACGTGATTCATTGCAATGCTGCTAGTCCACTTGCCCAGGAAGAAACTATGTGGTCTTCTAATTCACACACCCTTGTCATTAAAATGTTTGAATTGAGTACACATCTCTCAATACATATGCTACGATGCTTCTGTATGATGTGCATTATAACATAGATACAAAGGAAAATAATAGAGAATAAGATACAAATAAATGGAAGTCCTTATGTTTTCATTTTGCACCCAGTGGAGTCCATGCAGTGAATTAAGGCATGCACTTAAGATTTCCATGATTATCCTCCTGCAACTTCTGCAGTCCATCTAATACCACACCCACATGAAACTCTAAATTCAGTCCAGTTGGCATTTTAACTTTTTTAATATGCTGTTCCTAATACTTAGAAACTCTTCTATGCACATTCTCCCTGGCAAATTTCCATTCACCTTTCAAAACCCTGCTTAAGAGTCACCTCTGTGAAATCTCACCTGACCTCCTCCCGCCCTCCTTTCTCTGACCTTGTTCAGTTTTCTAGGACTGCACTCATCACTCTAGCACAGTGACTGGACTAAACACTTACTTCTGTACCTACATCAAGAGCTTCTGGAAGGTAAGAACTATGTGTTTTTCATCTTTGTACACCCCAGCTGCTTAAACAGATCCTGGAGTAGACAGTTTTTAAACAAATAAACAATATGACTTAGCCAAGATTATACTGTGAGAAGGAATTAAAGCTAATCAGGAGTAGAGTGCTTTTATCTGGTGTCTTGTGCATGAAATGAAATAGCGAAGCTATTGAAGAATGGAAGACTTGTAATTTGAAATAAATGTCATAAGTTCTTTTTTATTCCTATTATTGTTTCTGCAATTTTGAACTCCGATGCCACCCAAATAAAAACAGGTTTTGGCTCTGCATATACAGGAAAAAAAAGTAGAGGCTTGTTGATTATTCATTTAATTAAAAAAACAAACAATTATCTAAATTGGTGATTCAAACCACAAGAGCATATTTACTTGAATTACTTGGTTTGGCTGTTTACAACTATCAAATCAACTAGATTGCTCTCTACTTCTTTTCACCTTAGCCCATGAGTCCTCCAAGGTATTTCTCACAGCCTCTGAGATGTGGTTAACAAGTGAACAAAAATTCCTATGGCTCTCTTTGTGCAAACAACAAACCTTGGGCTGTTGAAAACATTAAGTACTAAATTCTGACTCTTTTGGTTAAGACTGCATGTGTGATAAACTATACTCATATGTCCATCCATTCAACTTCATTCATTAATTTAATCAATGAACCTATTAAGCACCAGGCTACTAGGTGCTAATGATAAAACTTCGAGCCAAAGAGACATACTCCCTGCCTTTGTGCAGCTCAGCGTCCAGCAGAGACATAGCATCACAATGGTAGTGTGATAGATGCCACCACAGGAAGACGATGGGGAGCTGCAGGAGCCACATTGAGAACACCTGGCTTTCTCTAGGATTTCTTTTAGGCAATCTGAGCAGCAGTTTCTACTGATGCAATTTTATAACCTAAAGAAATAATAAATTACAAAGGCTTTGCCACTATTTATCATGTTTACTTGAGTGTTGGCTTTATTTATTGTCTGACTTATCTATTCAACCAACTTACCCTGCCCTCGGGAGCAGCCAGAACAGGTTCTGATGGACACACAGTCAGGGAGATCAAAGTTAACAAAAGTTGTGTTGGATACTGTAAGTTCCCACCTTTTGGGAGTTTTGATTCCAACTGACATACACAGGCTTCCCTGCAGTTTAGAAAGGGAGAAAGAAACAAGGTAGGAAAAATAAGATAACTTGCCACATGAATTACAGTTTATAATGCAAAAATAAAAACAATTAAGGTAATAAAAAGGCAAGCTATAAACAGGGAGAAAATATTATCAAATCACATACATGACAAAGGATATACTACACATGTGTTATAACAGAATGATAAATAAAAATTTGTGAGGACACCAAATGCTGATGAGGATAAGGAACAGCTGAAACTCCCATATATTGCTAATGGCAATGCAAATGGCACAGCCACCATGGAAAATAATTTGGCAGTTTCTTATAAAGTTAAACACACCCTTATCGTATGACCTAGTAATTTAATTTTTAGGTGCTTACCTTAGAGAAATGAAAATGTATGTATATACGAAAGCCTTACATAAATGGTTATGACAGTTTCCTTTCTAATCACCAAATCTGAAAACCATTCAGATGTCCCTCACAAATGAGTGGATAAACAAACTGCAGTATATCCTTATAGTAGATTATTATCCAACAACCATAGGAATAAAATATTTTTTCTTACAATATGTTAGATAAATCCCTAAGGCATTTTGGAGTGAAAAGTGTCAGCATCAGAAAGGTTACACACTATCTGATTAAATATAAACAATTGTTGAAAAAGACACAGTGAGAATAGATCAGTGATCCCAGGGGTTGGTTTGAGAGGAGGGTGTGGCTACAAAGATGGAGCTCGAGGGAGTACTTGGGGGTTAAGGCAACTGTTTCTGTATCTTGATTGTGGTGGTGGGGGCCACTCACGCCCATACACATGTTAAAAATCAGATACTGTACATTAAAAAGTCAGTTTTGCTATATGTTAACATAAAAATAAAAATTAAAAATATTAAAAAAAATAAAATTGCTTCCAGGATTTACCACAAAAGCTCTCCAACAAACTCCATTTAATCAACTTGTTAGTGCTTCACAGCCCCACTGTTAAACATGATTGTACATCTGAGGATCACCAGAAATTTCCAAGGACCTCCAACAGGAAGAACAAAAAAGAGAAACGAACAGAAGGAACCCAGTGGAGACAAAGCCAGTATAGGAATCAGAAGAAAACTTAAACTTTGTCATTAATAACCCCAGAGAAATAAGTTTATATCCATGAAACAAGAAAAAAGAGCCTAAAAGGGGGGAGATTTTTCAGAAAGAGAAAGAGAACAAAAAACAAGAGAGCACTAGTAACAAATTCAAAAGAAAAAAAAATTGACAAAATATCCTAGTAAATAGGATAAGAATACAGCTGGGAAATCAGAGAGGAAATTAAGATTAGAATAACAATTTAGGAGGCCCATTATTCAAATAATATAGTTTCCAAAAAAAAAGGAAAATAAAAAGAGAATTATAGAAATCTCAAAGAAATGAGACTGAAAGGTCTCACGCAGCACCTAGGCAGTGGTTAAAAGAAAAAGCCACACAAGATACATCGTACAGAAGCTTCAAACATCAGGGACAAGGACAACATCCTAAAATCTTCCAAAACAGGAAATTAAAAGGTTACACAGAAAAGACCTAAAATTAGAGGATCTTGAAACTATGCATCCTCAAGACTAGAAGCTAGAAGACAATGGAGCGCTGCCTTCAAAACATGGAGGCAAAGTGAAGTTATCCCGGTGTTCTATAACCAACAACCTACTAACAAGGGGGTCTCCATTTGTCCTTCAAAACCTTTACATTCCACAGACCTTCCACTTTGTTAAGAAAGTTACTGTATGCTACACTCTAATAAATAAGGAATTAAATCAGAATGAAGGAAGATGTGGGAGGCAGGAGCAAGAGTTGCAATAATGGAGAGATATGAAGGATACCTCCAGGACACTGGTCAAGAGAAATACCAAGACATGTATTGTGAAACTCTTCACGCACATGCTAGTGCAAGTATAAACATTTGGGACTATTGTGTGGCATTATCCACTAAAGCCTAAGGGATAGCCTTTGATCCAGTAATTTTACAACTTTGCATATATTCAACAGGAATGCATGTAAATAGAGAGACATATAGAAGAACATTCATAACATTCATCATTTAAAATAACCCAAAATTGCAAATAATCAAACTTCTATCAGTAGCAACATAGCTTTTTTAAAATGTGGTACAGTCATAAAGTAGAATGCTACACAACAATTGAAAAAATAAATTATTGTAAAATTTTTAAAAAATGAATGAATTTCATAAGCATAATGTTTGGCCAAAGGACTGAAGCATGAAAGACTTACATGTTCTCAAATTCCATTTATATAAAGTTCAAAAACAGATTTGAAATCAATCTATGTCTATAGAAGTCTGAATAATGTTTCCCTTCTGGCTGGGGTCTGGGGGTCGAGTTAAATGAGAGCAGGTATGAGGGGCTTTGGAGGACACAGTAATGCTTTACTTTTGACTGGGTTACTATGTACATGGGTTTTGCCTTCTAAAAATCCATTAAGATCTTAGCTCATGGTTTTGCACTTTTCTCCATAAATATTATATTTCCATAAAATATTTATTTCAAAAAGTGGGATAAATACTAGAGAAAAGTAATATACAAGATAGGAAGGTGAAGAAAAAGGTCAAAGGAGTTGAAGTTCTGCTGCATCATCACTCAGGTAAAGTTTAACAGTGCTGATGACTTTAAGACAAGCAGGGTTGTTAAAAATTTAAATCCAATAATGAAAATAATCACACAGAATAAATAACTTTAAAATGAGTAAATATACTACTCAATGCAAGACAAATGAAGTTTGGAAAGTAGAAAAAAAAGAAACAAAAAAAAACCTAATTGCAAAGTGAAGGCACAAAATGAGGTGGTAGAAATAAATGCAAATATATGAGAGACATCAGCGTGCTGATGGTAATTGAAACCACTAGAGAAAATGAGATTTCTCCCAGGGAGAACAAGTATATTGAAAAGGGAAGAAGCCCTACAACAGAATTTAGAGAAACAAAAAAATGAAAGGCCTAAATTGAGAAAGACAAATCCACCAGTGAAAATGGAAAGGAACTCGTAGAGAAATAGTAGAAAAAATAAACCAATCCCATCAGCATCTGTCTCAATACGATATTTTAAAAAGTAGTATTATCTGCTCAAATTAATTAGAATAACAACAAAAAGGCAAGCATCCCACCAATACTTCTAAAAGTAGGGTGAGCATAATTTATATCCAAAGCAGGACATTGCTGAGAGTGTGAAGGGGTGCTCATCAGATGAATGCTAGGACAACCGGTTTAAACAAACTGCACAGCCAACCTGGGGATGTGCAGTACAGTAATGGGAGAGTGCATCTCTTTGCCTAGTATGTTAAAGCCGTCCTCACTGGAAATTATTCTGCCCATCTCTATGTAAAGGTAATGTTTGGGTGTGAGAATACCAAACATTTAGACAAATATGCTTAGTTAGAGGGGGAAAAAATCCTTTCCAATAATAAGGTCTTCCAGAAACTAGTGTTTTTTTAGGATATGACTAACTGATAATTGTGTGCCACCAATGAGATGTGGATGGCAGGTCTAAGAAGGATAGGCAAAATTGTCTGAAAATTTTAATTCCTAAAGGTATGATAGGCATGAAAGATACAGAGGCTAAGATCAGCTCCACAACCACAGAGGTCAGGTATCTTTTTTTTTAAACAATTGACCCAAGATTTTTTTCTGTTATTTTTTATATCCTCACCTGAGGATACGTTCATTGATTTTAGAGAGAGAAGACGGGAGAGATAGAGAGAGAGAAAGAGAGACGTTGATGTGAAGGGAAAATACTGACTAGTTACCTTCCATAGGTGCCCCAACCTGGGATCGAACCTGCAACCTAGGTATGTGCCCTGACTGGGAGTCAAATCCACTTTTTGGTGTACGTGATGACACTCCAACCCACTGAGCAACCTGGCCAGGGCCTGACACAGTTTCTTATGAGAACAAAAATGTTCCCAAATAAATCTAAGCAATACTATGTCAAATAAAGATTCAGAGATATTTTTCTTGTTTGTTTTTAACCTTGGGACTCTGCAGAACCTTTATTATGTTAATGTGTGACATAAATTCGAGGGAATGAGAGGTGTGATGAATAGCATGTCTTAAATGTAATTAACCTAGGAATTTTCCTTTCCCTGGACCCTCTTTTGGGACTAGCCTTCCATGGAAAACAGTTCAGGAAATAATGAAGTAGATACTAATAAATCCTTATTGCTGAAGCTATTTTCTATGTAACCGAAAGAGTATTTGACCGGGAGTATTTATCGAGGTGGTCCCACCTGCACACTACTAGGCATAGATTCGAGGCTATCATTTGACTTCCTAAAGCCTCCATTTCTTCACCTGCAAATTCCGGAGTTCTAACTATAACTAAATTAACTCTTGGGTAATATTTAACTCTAAAATGACATGGTTTTATTATTTGGGTGCCTAATCATGATCTAGATCTCCCCTAGAACATGCTGTCTGACATTTTGCATCCAGGGATTTGTGTCCTGCACCTACTTTCTAAGAGATGAAGAGGTGCTCAGTGGCATTGCCTTCCTGGCAAATCACATCCCAGGGATGTGATTATTTTTTATCTCACGATAACCGCCCTTTGGTCAAAATTTATGTCTCAATTTATGCCATTCTTCCATTAATTATGATATCTATTTAGCATCATTTAAGATGTTGTGACATTAATTTACCAAGACAGTTACTCAGCTTGATGGGCATTTTGTTTTCAGCATTTCCTCTAAGGTTACTTTGGAGAAATTTAAGGTCATTAGCATCTATAATGCCCTAATGCATCTATTAAGGATCTATAGCATCACAGGATTTAAATCTGGGTCCCACCGTCTCCTGGAAAACTATGAAGCCTAAAAAGAAGAATCATTTCTTGAGGGGGTAATCCTTTCAGAGAAAAGGAAAAACTGGCAGGTATTTCCTTCCTGAAAAGGATGGTTCAAAAGAGATTTAACTAAGTAAGTTTGGGAATTAAATGTAGGAAAATGTAGCTTAGTAACAGAAGGATTTTTATAATCTTAATATTTATATCTAGGTTTATGAAATAATCTCCAAGGGAAGTATAAAAATCAATAATTATTTAAATATGAATTGGCTAAAGCATTCAGGAACAAACTACAGAGAATGCTCTTTCCTTGGTTCTGAGAAGAACCATCTCTGATTATTGTGACAATGTGTTACTAAAAGGTATGTACCTCTTTAAAAGACAAGAACTGAGAGAACCCATTACAGGTCTGATGCCTGCTGACACTAATGGTAACCATAGGCTTCTCTGGAGAACGGTACTTCTCTTTTGGGAGGTCCTCTGCCTCATCTACATTCTGGTAACCTGACCTTGCAGTGGCAGAGAAGTCATGTATAGCCTGATGTTGATCATGAAGAAACAAATCCCACAGTTAAAAAAAGTGACAACAGGCCAAAATGGAGTCACCTTTGCTTAGCCAAAATGCCAAACCAAAACTTAGTAACTAACTTAACTGCAGTTTCAGCCTCTCCCAGGAGTGGAAATGTTAAACCATTAATATGAAATTTTTTGATCAATGCTAGTGTGATAGGACATACTGAGCAGTGGCCATTCTCGGATAGCAGTTATCTCAAGGCTGCACGCTAACTCCTGCATTCTGCTTCTGTAAAACAGCTTCCTACCAGCAACTGCACTCCTCCCCACTCCTCCTTCCACCTTTGCAGCAAGAATATAAGAAAGCTCCCCACCCCCACCCCATCTCCCCATCCAGCTCAGAGCCTAGAATTTGGAATCTACCTCCTCTGGGTCCTCATGTGAGAATAAAACTCCACTTTGCAAACCCCGAAGCCATTTGAGTCGTCTTTTCTGTAACTTGTGTTGGGTAAAATCTGCATGATAAAACCCCTGCCCTTCTTGTGTCCCATCCCTCCCTCCCACCCCAAAGACAACCTGGCCTAAAAATAATCCTTTCTTTTCTTTTGCTAAGAACTCCCCTGTCACACCCTAAAAGCCTTCTGTTTTGTACAATCCTTTGAAGCTTTAGGTGGGATGCTTCCTAGTTCCAGAAGCTCTTCACAAAGCCAATTACATTTTCTAATTCATTTGGTTGAATTTTGTTTTTTAACACCACACTTAAGGACATATTAGGGAATCACATAAGAAATCATAGTGTACTATAGCAAATGATATAAATGTATATTACTTATTTTTTTTCAGGGGGGACACCCTAAACAGAGTAAGAACCCTATAAATAAAATGTTGATGTAAAAATTCGGCAAACAACAATGCAGAGAGACAATATGGAATCACGCTGTTCTATAATTATTGTCAGGTTAGAGTAAACTAACCTAAAATTATTAGGTGCATTATTGAATTGGTATGGATAATAATGCTAAATTGCAACCAAATAAGAATTCTGCAAGCTACTCATAATTTTTATAATTTATATTGACTTATAACATTGAACCTTTGGATATATTTAAATTTTGTTTTAAGTATCACCACCTTTACAAATAAAAAGCTCCTCAAACTTTTACCAGTTAAATACAAGATTCACTGAAGCGTGCTATTAAAATTACATAAACTGGATCACAAGGGAGTCCATCACATATGATTTTACTTTAATGGACAGCCTAAAACAACCACACTAAGGTATTTACTTACCTCGTGGGCAAAATGACCAAGTAATAAGCTGTCAGTAACTAAAGTATTTGCATCACTTTCCAAGATGTCAATTCCAAAATCTCTACATGAATAAACCTGGAAGTTTTTTAGGTGAAGATTGCTACTTCTAAAAATCTATAAAAAGAAAAAAAAACACAGCATATGTTATGGCAAAGGTCTGCGGATTGGCTTTTCTTGCAGACTTCCTGTAACTTCTTTAATTATTGACTAAGTATAAATAAGCATGCTAGACCATATTCAAGCAGCTTTTGCCCATCAATATCTGTGCAGACATCCCAAAGTTGCCATAAGGTCAGTACTAACTAGTCCCCTTTGGTAATATCTCCTCTGTACTTTTCATTTCTCCTCATAATAACTGACACATTAAAAAGGTCAGTGTGAATTTTTCACATAGCTAAAATAAACTTGCTGTTTACAAATCACACAAGATCAATGGAGGAAAACCATAGCATTCAAGAACTCCAGGATTTAACATTTTCCTCAGCATTGTATATATTAACTAATATTTTCAGAAAATTACAAATGTGAAATAAGTAATTGAGCATGACTGCAGACTAAAAATACATTATGTGAACATATATTTATGACAGTTTGTGTTAGCAGTCCCAAACAGGGATCAGGTATTAACAAAATTAGCTTAATAGAATTGAAAGAATTCCATTAATTTGGGGACAGAATCCTTTATTTTCACCTAGCACTGATATTAACTAACCAGATGACCTCATAAAAGACATCTAATGTCTTCTTTGGCCTCAGTTCAAACATCTTTAAAGCCAGGGTGGAAATCAGGACTAGCAATTAATCTAACACAGTCATTCCTTGTTCATTAAATAGCGTCATGGTTCCCCTCACATCTTAATGTGAAAGTTTCCTATGAATTAAAGCCAAGGTAGCCTTGATTTACCATGGTATCATGCTTCTACCTGTCAATCAGTCATTGTGCCTGAATTTTCAAGAATTAAATAGCTTGCATTTCCCATTTTGTATGCACCAATAGCTTTTATAAAATGGTAGACTTTCGAAGACACAAGGCTTATTTAAACAAATAGGTAAGATCTTGACAAGAACTGTTACCCAATTACAGGCATCTCAAATTATGGCAAATATACTCATATTCAAACAGCTAACATCTAATTTCTGAAGGAAACCAACACACAGCAGCATAAAGCCCCTATCTGTGGCATACATACAGCCTTTATAATGTGTTCTTATGTCTCTCTCCCTTTCTAAAGAAAATCCCTGCATTTATGAGACCTGGTGAGGAGAGGGCATTTTCCTCAACTTTTATTAACATACATACAGAAGGGTCAGATGGCCTGAGTTGGAATCCAGCGATTCTGAACTGTGTGACATGAGCAAGATTTTAGTCCTAACCCAGAGTTTTCTTCTGTACAAAAGGAGAGTAATGATGATGCTCCTCCAAAGGTTAAGATGATTGGATGAAAAATATACAAAAAATACTAGCTATCAATATCAAATAGATACAAATTTATATTTACTCACAATAGAAATTTTACCTGCTAGAATATTCTGTTTAAATATTTATATAAGAAGCCCCAGTGGCCTAATGGATAAGGCACTGGCCTCCTAAATATCTATATACATGACAGGTATGTCTAATGACAAGAATATAGTCAGATATATTTAATAATAAAAGTTTATGGAATTCAAACACAATGTTCTTTTCACAATGCAGAAGGCCATTCTCAATGTTACAATTTCCAGAGACATATGATCAACATCACTCTATCACCACAGAATCCTGTGTGCTAACAACGCTGATAGCAACAGCTGTTATTATACACACACAGAGAATCAGGCATGCTCCTAGGCACTTTACATTCAGGCACTTATTTAACTCCTCAAGCAAACTTATCATTTAGGTACTATTATTATTTCCATTTTACGAGTGAGATAGAAAGACACAGGACTTGACCAAGGCTACACAGATAGGAATATGGAACATTTGAAAGCTTACATGGCTATATACAGAAGAGGGTATTTTTTTAAAACAGATTTATTGAGATATACATAACATACAATTCACCTATTTACTTAAAGTTTACAATTGAAAAGATTTAGTATATTCACAGATATGTGCAACCATCACCACAGTCAATTTTAGAACATCTTCACTTCAAGAAGAAACACTGTATCCTTTAGCCTAAGCAACAGTTAATCTCCTTTCTGTCTCTATGAACTTTCCTATTCTGGTCTTTCATATGACCAGAACCATATCAGGTGTGGTTATTGTGACCATCTTCTTTTACTTGTATAATGTTTTTAAAGTTCATCTATGTTGCAGCATATACTTCATTCATTTTATGGCTGAATGATATTCCATTGTATTGATACACCACACTATATTTATCCATTTGAACATTGGTGGATATTTGGGTTGTTTCCACCTTTTGGCTGTTATGAATAATGTTGCTATAAACATTTGTGTGTACATTTCTGTGAGTATATATGTTTTTACTTCTCTAAGAGAAAGAAAACATATGTCACATGGTATCTTTATGTTTACTCATTTGAGGAACTACCAGACTGTTTTTCTGAAATATCAAGGCCATTTAAATTCCCATGAGCAGTATTTGAGAATTCCAATTTCTCTACATCTTTGCCAACACTTATTATCATTTTGATTCTAGCAATAGGGTCTATGAAGGAGTCACATGTCACTGTGGTTTTGATTTGCCTCTCTCTACTAACTAATTATGTTGAACATATTTTCATGTGCTTATTGGTGATTTGTGAATCTGTGGAGTAATGTCTATTCAGAACTTTTGCTCATTTTTAATTGGATTATTTATCTTTTTATTTCTTAGTGTTAAGAGTTCTCTATATACTTGTATTCTCTATATAAGCCCTTTTCATATATGATTTTATAGATGTTGTCTCCTATTCTGTAGGTTTTCAGTTCTTGATGAAATCTTTTGAAACATTACAATTTTTAATTTTGAAAAAGTTAAATTTAACTATTTTTCTTTGGTTGCTTATTCTTTTGGTGTCATATCCAAGGATCCTTTGCTTAATCCAAGATCATAAAAAATTATCCCTTTGTTTTCTTTTAAGAATTTTATAATTTTTGTTCCAATGTTCAGGTTTTTGAAGCATTTTGAGTCACTTTTTGTAAATTGTATGAGGTAAGAATACAGTTTCATTTCTTTCCATGTGGCTCTCTAGTTATTCCAGCATCACTATTATTTCCCCCATTGAATGTTCTCGGTATCCTTGTCAAGAATCAGTTGACCATAGACGTATGGGTTTATTTCTGGACTCAATTCTATTTCATTGACTGATATTTCTATCTCTGTTTCCATACCACACTATCTTGATTATTATTGCCTTATTGTGCATTTTGAAATAAGGAAGTGTAAATCCCTTTACTTTATTCTTTTTTTTTTCAGTTTGTTCTGGGAGAAGTTACTCTTCAAATTCCCTGCTATTATGTTAGTGACTCACCTTTACTTTCTTCATAAAAGTGAAGTTCTAAAAGCATTCTCATTATCTGGACTTTTGAGTGCACAAAAGTTTAATCTTTAAGGATTTTTTTTTCATGAATTTAGTGCTTCTGGTTGGAGAACTTGAGAAAACTGACTTTAATCACCATCTTTTAATATTTTTGTTTTACTAGGTTATTTCCTGTAGAACAAGATTATCAATACAGAATTTAAGTCTCTGCAAGGCATGATTTCTCCTCTGCATAGGAGGGCACTCAGCAAATGTTTCCACTAGATTCTCACCCGTATATTTATAGTGCTTATGGGAAACAAAGCACACTGTGAAATTAAATGGGAACAAAATACTAACTACAATGGGCAATCGTCCACTTAGCTACCCTAATTATATGTTTTGGGGCTTTCCTCATCTACAGTTGTCTTCCTCTTGTTTGATATATAAAATAAATGTCTAGCTTTCTTATTATGACTTAGTTTTATGTTTTTATTCTGTTTCCTGAATGCCCTGTAAACATATTTTTCATTTATGTATGTATCTTAGACTCCAGATTTCTAAGTGGCAGAGACAACGTGCATGTAATTTTCTCTGCAGCACCAACTAGTGACCCTGGATAATTTTTATATGTTGCTGTTAACGGTGGACATGAAAAGCTTCTCTGTAAGAAATCACTGTGATAATGAAAAGTCAGTGATTGAACATGAACTTTTCTCCCTTTCAAACAAAATAGAAGTAAATTTGGTTCATTGATAGAGGTAAGAATGGCACCTGGAGCTGGAATTTTTGAGTTCCAATGATGAATAGCACTTTTTCTTATGATTGAAGCATGTATTAGTCAAGATATTAGGGTTTCAAATGCACATTTGGAGTCTGAAGTCTGTATCTGGTTGTGTCACTAACTACGTGACCTTTAGCAAATTCCTTTGCTTTCTGACCTTTAATTTTTTTTTTATCTCTAAATAGGCATGGCATGGGAAGAATGGATGACCTCTAAGATCCCTCCTGGTTGTAAATCTCTATAATTCTGTTGTTCTCTATCAGAGCTGCTTAAAAGTCACCATAAAGGAAGTGAGCTAACCCTGGCTTAGTAACTAGGAACTTGCTCATTCAACAACTATTCCACACACACCTGTGGTGCTGTTGGCTCCTTAAAACTACGATGATACACAAGGCTCCTCTGAGCAAATCATCTCCCGTTAAATAGCAATGTATAATCTGCCACTATGAGAAAGCAACTGTTTTAATAAAGAAAAAAATAAAGAAACTTACCTGTGCACCACCTGCACTTCCCCAAACCGTGAAGTTTTGGAACAGGGTGGGGCCAGTGTCATTGTCCCAGGTTGGCTGAAATTTAGGGTATACAAAGAGACCACACCTAGAAAATGAAACAAAGAGTGAAATTTAGTCCATTTCTGTTTAAAACATCCCACTTTTTTCTAATGAGAAATATTAAAGAAAAAGTAATGAGTGAGGGAAAATGAAGACGAGACCGAGACCATGACCCTGCTCCCTGACTGTCACCGCCCGTTCCTCAGCCTGTCTTCTCTGTTACCCTCTGTGAACTGCTCCTGGATCTCAGGATGTGGACTGCCATAATCTCATTCTATTGTATCAGCCCTTCTCTAGGTTCACCCCCTTCCCAAGAGTCCGGACACCTTTCCTTAGCCCTTCAGAATATGAGCCCTAGCACTGTATCAGTCCTCTTCCAGATTCACCCCCTGGCTAGGAAAGTGGATGCTAACATCTGTAATCTCTCCAAGTTCACAACAGGTGTACTAATTCTAGCCTCAGCTGGCACTTCAACATGGCATATCTATTATTCTTAATCCTTATCACTCTTCATTATCACAGTATTTCTATGCTATTATTATCATAATTATTTATAGCTATCAATTATTGAGTTCCTATAGTATTCCAGGTGTTCTCTTAGGTACATTATGTAAGCTCTAATTTTCACATCCAACCTTCAATGTATATATGTTCCCATTTTACAAATAAAGGATCTGACTCTAAAATAAATAAATAAATAAATAGCAATTCAGTAGGAGTCAAGTCAGGATTTGAATCAGGACCTGACTGACTGAAGTTTGTATTTTTCCCTGTGCTTCTCAAATTCCCTACTTCACCTTTGTTCTCTATGAGTCTCTTAGCAGAGGACACCACCTTCTACATAACAAAGAGTCTGAACAGTCCCTTCTCACCTCACAGTGTGCAAGCGATGAGGAAAGAGCCTCTCCTCCAAGGCTGTATCTCCACTCAGGTCCTGAGCCCAGGCTCTTGAGCCTCCCAGGGGCTCTGCATTTCTGGTTGCTTTGGATCTCTTAGAAGTTTAATTGCTCTCTCTATTTGAATTCTCCTCTGGCTACAAAAAGGGCATTTTGTCTTGCTACCCTCTTATGTGACTTCCCTCTGCCTTTCCCTTCACCACCAAATTTTTATGATCCAAAATCGTGACACAGATACATCATCAAATCTCACGTGCTGTCAAATTATACCTTCTCTGTGTGTTGTACAATTTAAAAAGTGTTAAACCATAAGCCTTATACCCAACATGTACATTAATTTTCCTAAATTTACCTTGTACAAGAATGTGCAATATTCCCAGTGAAGGAGAAAAGTAGAGCTTGTGAAGTTTGGTTGGTCACAAGATGAAAAAAGTAGCCAAAACCAGCAGCACACACCCTGTTTCCCTAGAGAAATTAAGGCAAGTTAAATAACATATACAATAAGGTTACTGAAAAGAAAGACTCTTATATATGTGCTCATCCTCCTTTTTCATTCACTTCTTGTTAAGGTGTATTGACACTTTATGGATTCATTTACTCTTTTACTCACCCATCCCCCACTCTGCCCCAGGAATCAAAGATACTCTCATTCCTCTTCCTCCAGGCAGCTCAACTACACTACAATTTACCCACCTCAATAGCCAGCCTCTCAGGTGAAAGTGTCATTGTAAAAATCCACAGTGAAAAGTTTATTTGCATCATCGTCGAATCCAAGCTCTTTGGGGTATGCAAGCACACACAGTGCCAAAGGGATTCCTTAAAGCCCAGTCCACAGTGTTCTCCCTGATCCTTTGTACAAATCAATGATTTGGCTATGGACTGAAAGCTAGTGGTTATACCAGCAAATTCCTTAGTTCTGAGAGATGGTGGCTGAATTCAAATATGTATTTTTGTTCTGATTAGATCATTGAAATCACCTTAATAGTTCTTTATAGGATTTACTATCTAAATAATATCTTTTATATCTTCATATAAACCTAAATTCTGCATTAGGCCATATGAGTTTTTGGCTTTAATTCTGATCAAAGTAAACACAATGAGATAGTCTTTATAAATTCAATAAAGTACCTGCAATATATTCATCACTATGAAATATAATTTAAGACAGTGTTAAAAACTGTCAAAAGAGTCTAATATTGAACACAGAGGTATTTTGCTTGGCCTACCCACTGTATACAAGATTATTAATTTTGTTTTGATCATTTAAAAATCAACACAGTTGATATAAAAATTCAGACTTTCTGTTTTTTAGAAATACTGAGCCCAAATACCTATGAGATGTCCATGGGTCAGCTGAAGCTAAAAAGATTCTGCCTTCTTAGATTATGCATAATTTTGCCATTGTCCCCACCTTTACTGCTTCACTTATTTAGGATACTGGCCTCAGTCCCTGCAAGCATTTGAATTTGCAACCTCTTAACACCAGGCAGTAAAGTAAATAACACTTTGGCTGCTCTGTGTTTTGTTTTGTTTTGTTTTTATTTTTTTATTGTTGTTTAAATACACTTGTCTCCATGTCTCCATTTTCCCCCACCACTTTCCCGCATCCCACCCACCCCCATCTGCCACCCTCAATCCTACCCCTCTTTGGCTTTGTCCCTGTGTTCTTTATACATGTTGCTTGATGACACTTCCCCTTTTTCCCTGTTATCCCCCCTCCCCTCTCCTCTAGTTACTGTTAGTTTGTTCTTTATTTCCATGTCTCTGGTTATATTTTGCTTGCTTGTTTTGCTGATTAGGTTCCACTTATAGATGAGATCATACAGTATTTGTCTTTCACTGACTGGCTTATTTCATTTCGCATAATGCTCTCCAGATCCATCCATGCTGTTGCCAAGGGTAGGAGCTCCTTCTTTCTTTCTGCTGTGTAGTATTCCATTGTGTAAATGTACCATAGTTTTTTGATCCATTCATTTACTGATCAGCACTTGGTCAGCTCTGCATTTTTCAGTGTGAGGAATGAAAGGCCAATAGATTGAGCTGGACTGCTGTTTGCATCTGTCTTCTTTCAGCCTCAAAGGCAGTCTGAAGCCTTGATACCTATGCCTATCTAGAGAATAGAAGTCGAGGAGTAGGCCATTTTGCCTACCTCATGCCTAAGCCTTGTGCTACAGGGATAAAGGGAGCCCCAGTGAATTCTGCATGGTTCATGCCTTATCACCTGGGGGTTTTCCATGGCTTGGCCAGTATGAGAAAAGGAACATCAGGGTGTTTTCTCTGGGAGTAACTCAGTCTTTCCAGAGTATGCACTATGGGACTAGGACAGCTCACCCTGAACATCGGCAGGAGGGCACAGAAAAGAGAATGGGGAGCAGGAGAATTTGACACTGAACAACCCAAAAAGGCAGTAAGTACTTTTCTAAAACACAATATTTTAGTGCTCTATACAGGGCATAGTAGAACTATTCTGTGAGCATCTTCTAGGACTGTTTCTTCAAGTTCAGCATGCACTCAGGATAGGGTTGCCAGATTTAGCAAAAAATCACAGGAGCCCAGTCAAATTTAACTCACAATTTAAAAATAAAAGTAAAAATTAAAAACCCTAATTTTTTTAGTATATGTTCCAAATATCACATATAATATTTGGAATATACTTATATTAGACATTATTAATTATATAACTGAAATTTAAATTTAGCCAAGAATAGTGAATTTTGTTTGGCAAGCCTAACATGGGTGTATAAAATACAGATTTCTAGGTCTACCACAGATAGTCAGATTTAGTGTGTTGGGACAGTGAAGGGATAAGGGACAGAATTCTGTACTCCAGAGATCCACAGGAGAGCTACAGCAGGTGATCTTTTGGCCTTTTTGAGAACTATTTCTCTACAGGTGGTAACTGAGATATAAACATTGTACTGTCTAGTCATGAAGAGTCCCGGAAGATGATCAAAGAGAAGAGAAGCATTGGGAAGAATTCATTTCCTAGCCCTTTGGCCGTAAGCTGATTTGGGAACTTACTACAAATGGAAGCCACTGTCACAAATCAGGGTATGATGTCTTTTTATTTTGTTGATGTTTTCCTTTGATGTGCAAAACTTTCTAGTTTGATGTAGTCCCATTTGTTCATTTTTTATTTTGTTTCCCTTGCCTGAGGAGATATATCTGATAAAATATTGCCATAAGCTATGTTTTAGATTGTACTACCATTGTTTTCTTTTAGGATTTTTATGGTTTCAGGTCTAACATTTAAGCCTTTGATCCATTTTCAATTTATTCTTCTGTGTGGTGTAATAAGGTGGTCTAGTTTCATTTTTCTGCATTTATCTGTCCCATTTTCCCAACACCATTTATTGAATAAACTATTTTTAGCCCATTGTGTGTGCTTGTTTCCTCTATCGAATATTAATTGACTATAAAAGTATGGGTTTATTTCTGGGCTCTCTATTCTGTCCCATTGATCTATGTGTCTGTTTTTATGCCAGTCCCAGTCTGTTTTGATTACTATGGCCTTACAGTATAGGCTAATATTAGGCAGAGTGATTCCTCCAACTTTGTTCTTCTTTCTCAGGATCTCTGCTGCTATGTGGCATGTTTTCTGGTTCCATATAAATTTTTGAAATATTTATTTTAGTTCTGTAAAATACGTTATTGGAATCTTCAAAGAAATTACATTGAATCTGTAGATTGCTTTAGATAGTATGGACATTTTAATTATGTTAATTACTACCATGTACATAGTATGTGTTTTCACTTCTTTGTACCTTCTTCAATTTCTTTCTTCAGTGTCATAATTTTCTTAGTACAGGTCATTTACATCCTTGACTAGGTTTATTCTTAGGTATTTTATTCTTTTTGTAGCAATTGTGAATGGGATTGTTTTCTTAATTTTCTCTTTAGTTTTCTCTTTAATTTTCTCTTTAATTTTCTCTTAATTTTCTCTTAGTTCATTATTAGCATATAGCATTACAACGGACTTTTGGATATTAATTTTGTATCTTGCTACTTTGCTGAATTCCTTTAACAGGTCTAGTAGTTTTTTTGTGGAATCTTTGGGTTTCTCCATGTACAGTATCATGTTATCTGCAAATAAAGACAGTTTTACTTCTTCCTTTTCAATTTGGATGCCTTTTTTTTCCTTCTTCTTGTCTGATTGCTGTGGCTAGTGCTTTCAGTACTATGTTGAATAAGAGATGTGAAAGTGCACATCCCTGTCTTGTTCCTGATCGTAAGGGGAACACTTGTAGTTTTTGCCCATTGAGTAGGATGCTGGCAGTGAGTTTGTCATATGTGGCCTTTATTATGTTTAGGTAGGTTTCCTCTATTCCCACTTTGCTGAGAGTTTTGATCATAAATGGGTATTAGATTTCATGAAATGCTTTTCCTGCATCTATTGATATGATCATGTGCTTTTTATCATTCATTTTATCTATGTGGTGAGTCACATTTATTGATTTGTAAGTATTGTACCAACCTTGCATTCCTGAAATAAATCCCACTTGATGGTAGTGTACAGAAGGGAGAACATATTCATCAATACGTCTGATAAGGAGTTAATATACAAAAATTTATACAATGCTTACAAAACTCAATGCAAAGAAAAAAAACAATTAAAAAATGAGCAAAGGACCTGAATAGACACTTCTCCAAAGGGAACATACACATGGCAAAAAGACATATGAGAAAATGCTCTACATCACTGATCATCAGAGAAATGCAAATTAAAACCACAGTGAGATACCATCTCACACCTGTCAGAATGGCTATCATCAATAAATCAACAGACAACACATGCTGGCGAGGATGTGGAGAAAAGGGAACCCTTTTACACTGCTAGTAAAAATGCAGACTGGTGCAGCCACTGTGGAAAGCAGTATGAAGATACCATAAAAACTTTAAAATGGATCTGCCTTTTGATCCAGCAATCCCACTTCTGGGAATATATCTGAAGGAACTCAAAAAAACTCATTCAAAAGAACATAAGCACCCCTTTGTTCATTGCAGTGTTACAATTACCAATATATGGAAGCAGCCCGAATGTCCACCAGTAGATGAGTGGATAAAACAACTGTGGGACATTTACACAATGGAATAATACTCAGACATAAAAAAAAGAAGAAAATTTTACCTTTTGCTATAGTATGGATATACCTGGAGCACTTTATGCTAAATGAAATAAGCCAGTGAAAGAAACACAAATACCATATGATTTCACTCATATGTGGAACCTATTGAAAAAACTGAACTAATAAGAAAAATGGGGACTGACTCATAGATGGAGAGCAGGATGACAGCTAGTGGTAGTGCGGGGGGAGGTTAAAGAGTGGAGGGACTGAGCAAAAAGGAAAAAGTACTGTGTGGTAATTGCTGGTAGGAGGGGGTATAAAGCAACTAATGGTAATGAAAAAATACAATAAAGATAAAAATTTTTAAAAAGATTAAAAAGATAAAAAAAGAAAGAAAAG